AAACTTTTCTTTCTAGTTTTCTGCATGCTTTTAAGATTATAAAGGAATTTTAATTAAGAAAAACATTCACGGATTCAAAAGTTAATTGAAACGATGTTATACGTAAAATAATTTAAAATATTAAATTAAAATATCATAGCAGAGATTACATTACTTTGCTGGCTTTAAAACAGTTTTTGCTTCTGGTTTTTTTTGAATGTATATTTGTCTAAAGTTATTTGAACATTCAAGAAACTTAGCTGGAAATTATTCCCAACTCCCATCGTAACAGATTATGTTCACACATCTGACGTTACTCTCGACATGTACACACCACCAAAGGATGTTCAAATATGTTTCAAACATATATTTTGCTACAAAAATTTTCATCTTGCTTTTGTGAAATGCTTAGTTTAGCAACAATATGAAATTTAAAACTTCATTTTATCAGCTTCCGTATGTCAGAGTGGATTAGATTTACGAGCTTAGAGAAAACAATGGTTGAAGCTTCTTCTTTTCTTTTCATTTCTATGCTTTAAAAGACGAAACAATGAAGCGGAAATTTATGTTAAGAAATCTCTAATAACAGAAATTTTGCATCTCATGGCGAGTTGGTAATTTCGTTTAATATTCTTCTCATTTCCTTAAAACTTTTCTTCAAATTTCACAGCTTATGTTGCAAAATTAAGAACTCTGAGGGTTAAACTCTTAGACAAATAATTTCTCTCTTTACTAATGGAATGAAGAATTTGAATATAAATGTTGTTCTATTGTGGTTTATGTAAATTTTGTTCATAGTTAGATTTTATTAAGTTTGAAGATCTCCTCAAACCATTTAAATTCAAATCAGTGTAATGAATGAACCTTGCCATCTACATATTTCAAAAGAGAAGCTTACAGAAGTCATCATTTGGGATTTGTGATTGTCTTTTTTATGTCTCTTATTGTTTTTACTTGTGGCCTATTAAAATCTAATGAATAAAAGATTTCGATCCATTCATGATCCACTTTACAACGCTTCACCGATAAAACAGAAACAACCATCAAAATTGAATCCGCGACAAAGTGGTAATAAAGTCATTGTTCTTGTTAAACGATTAAGTTTACAGAAATATAAATAAATAAACAAACAAAAAACTCATCACTGTCGTATATCAACATGATTGATGTTGTTTCGCGTTCACGATTTGTATGAGAATGTTGGCGACAAAAATTACTTTCAGCATTTTTAGGCAGCATTAAAAGACTCCATCTGACAAAAAGCCGTCCTTAAAAGCGACATTCTAATATCATTAATCATATGTGAAAGTCAAGTCACTTCTTTTAAGTGAATCATTTCCCAAGCTCCATTAGAAATATCCGCCAAATCAGTACGGGTTGACAAGAGAAATTGTCGATTCTCACTTTCCCATGTTAAATTGTTAATGAAATTTCTTGATAATAGATCTTAACCTTCCTCTGCTATCGACGAACCCCTTCCGTTCTCAAATTTTCAAGGAACAACTTGTTAAAAGACGAAAAAGATTTATTGATCTGCCATAAACTGACTTGGATCAATTTTTCATGTTCGTTCGTGCAAAAAACTTTAAGCATCTGTGGTTACATACAAGCAATTGAAATTTGTTGATAATATATCATAATTTGAAATTTTATTGAACAGCCCTTATGATCTTACTTAAGTACCGACAAGTTTCCTCACATTTGACCTGTTGTGGATAAATTTTTGGGAGTTGAAATTGATTCCAACGATTATTTTAATTTAATGTTCACAGTTTATCAAAATTAATTGTGGAGTTTATTGGTAACAGTCCTAGCGAAGATAAATCTACTCGATTTTCTAATTAATGTTGCTATTTGTTCGTTCAAGACAATTTAATTCAACATCTAATTAGAACTTAAATTAATTCGATGCAACTTAGCATGTTTGCTTTGTTAATTGAATCTTTCAAATGCTTGCATTAAATTAATTTCTTAACACTTTTCAGAATGAATTTGACTTTCCTATTTCTCAAAAACATTTTCAAATATTCCATCTTGGACCTTTCAAATCCTACCTTTGAAATTATAAAATATTAATGAAAATAATTTACTCAAAATTTTTAAAGTTTTTATTAAAATTATTCCTTTTCTATCTTGTTTCCATGTGAAGTTTTAATCAAAAATAATTCATTCAGAGACTTATGTTCAATTCACTGCACAGTATGGCACAACATGTACAAATACAAAAAAGAAACTTCGAATAGGAAATACTTGAATTGAATTTTTATCATTTTTGAAAGCGACATAAAAGTTCCCATATTCGAATTTGAATACGCGATTTCAAGCGATAAAAAAAAGCACGCAATGTTCAGAAAGCGTCATTTTTTCTGACATTGAAACATGATGGTAATCCATAGATGAAAATCAATGTTGAATGAATCTTTCCACCATGAAAATCATATTCATTCTGACACATTTCAAAGTTCTTTTGGGTTGAACAATTGAACGAGTTTTAGAGCCACGAAATTTTGCTTCTCATGAATGTGAGTAAATATAAATGAATAAAATCAAAGTCACGTTTCGTGATGCGACAATTTTACGAAGAAACGTAATACTTGCTCAAGTCTTAACGCTTTGATCGTGAACTTTTAAAACGTCTAAAAGCTTAAACATTAAAATTTGCGCTGAGTTGATTTATTTTTCATTGTGCCAAAGAAAATTGACTTCGAAAACGACTCGTTTCATCTGCACAATCCTCGAGTTAAGCTCTAGAACTTTAGCTCATGATTTTGCAATTACCATGAACGCATGCTGAATTTTTTTTCTCTCTCTCTCTTTGTTTGGAACGTGAAGCTTGGAATGAATGTTTAAAAAAATATGAGTAGTATTAGAATCCTAAAAGAAACAATCAAGAGCAGAGTCTTCGAATGACATGCTTTTTATTATCTTACAGCCGCTTTTCTTCACAGAAACAATATCGCATGTGTGTCATGTGTGAAAATAATCTCAAAGATTTATAATTTACAAAACCTCCATCCACCATTATGGTTCTTCCTTTCTCGTTTCGCTCGTAAATGTTTTTCATCATGTTGAGAATTGTCGCTTATTCATATGTCATGTTGATGCTTCTCACACTCTCTAGTCTGGGGAAAATAATTAATCATTCTCTTTTCTGAAAATTAAATTAAAACAATTTCTAAGATGAATCCATGAGAGTTAAGCGGAGGGCACATATGCTCAAGACAAAGGTTGATATTAGTGATGACGGGAGAAGAATGAAGAAATTTAAATTCTCAAATAAATATCTACACCTTGAACTGAAAGTTTAAAGAGAAAAGCTGAAAGTTAGATTCACAAAGAAAATATTTCATTTCTTTTCCTTCATTCAATGTTATTATGTTTCAAGAAGAAAACAAAAGATGAAACCTTTTGCCTTTCAAATCATTCAACTGCTTTTCCAATTCAATGATTTTTTATTCACAATTCAATGTTTTTTACCAATATCGTAGCTGTAAAAGTTTTAAATTCACTTTTAAACTTTCGATTGAATGAATGATTGGATGCTTTTCATTGCTTCGAGGAAAACTGATGAAGCTGGTGGAAGTGAAGCACAATGTGAGATGTAAGAAACTTTTATATGATAAATTTATTCGAATTCAAAAGCATGTTCAATGTATTGAACAATTCAGAGTTTAAATCAGATAATCTTACATTTGGGAATATGAATATTGTGCTTCGATTAGAAAAGGTCAATCAGTCTCAAGTTTTGGATCTTTTCCAAAAACAAATAAAGGAATTAAAGACTTATGATTTTTGTTTTTTGTTTTGATTCGTAACTTAATTAAGAACTGAACTCAAATTTGTTGACAATTCAACAGATCACATATTTTGAATAACAACATAAATACGAATAACTTTCTCAATTTACTTCCAACTGAGCTAATTTCATGTTGTTGACATATGACGCAAGGTTGATTTATCCTGCAGTTTCTCCACGTGCTTATTTAACACCTCGGAGATTTTTTCAATTTATGTTTTCGACAAGAATATTGAAAATTTATTTAATTTATTCATGTTTCCTCTTTGATACAAAAAGCAAGAGTTTTCTTGATGTTGAGAAATAACATTAACATTACAATAAATTTTTAAAAAGCTTCCAAATCATGTAAATTTAAAATTTATGGCGTTTCTATAAACATATTTCATTAGATTATCATACATGCATTAATAATTAGTATAATTATCGTTTACATATATATAAAACATAATTATCAGCAACTGGTCTTTGTTAAATTGTCTACCATAAACAAATATTCATAAAGCGAACCACATTTCAAAGGACTTTCAGTAAAAAACCTCATTTTAAATTTGCAACCGAAAATAATTTAATTATTTCATCGTCACCGTGCCAACTAATGACCAGCAATTTAGAAATGAAAGAAAATAATTTAAACTGCTAAAAAAGGACATTTTCATGGTTTTAATTAAATCTTTACAGCGAAAATTTGATATAAAATATGAGGGTGGAGACTGAGAACCTTTCGTATGAATTTTCTATCTTATCTTTCGTCTTAGCGGTATAATTTATTCAAATTTATTCACTGTTGTTATCAAAGAAGCTTTTAAAAGAGCTTTAAACCAAAACTGAACATTGCAAGTAAGTAAGTTAATAGCAGCAAGTAGTATAATGTTTCAATTTTTATATTTTTTAATTATCTACAACAAAAGCGAGTTCAAGAATTTTCAAGAAATATTTCATTGTTTTCTTTCATAAACAATTAATTTGAAATCTTTTTGTCCGAATTGCAAGTCACTTTCCTTAAGAAGATTACATGCTAAGAATGAATGTGGTTGATACAATGTGCATTATGTTCATAAATCTTATTTATTTCCATCTTATTCAACAAAAAAAGAAGCTTAACTTCTATTATTTGATATTCAGCATGAGAAACTCGTACTAAATAAAACAATAAAAATTAATAACATGCTGCAAAGGAATAAATACTTTTGCCTAAAGGAATTTGGAAATAAGAAAGGAAATTTGCTGACCAAAAGGTTTGACGATAACAATGAAAGACGATTATGAGATCGTTTCTCAACATAATTCCTAAGAAGAATTTGTTTGAAGAGAATTTCATACTCAGAATTTATGTATGCACAAGAGAAACAGCAAACTCTCAGCTTTCAAAAACTTACATCATTTAAAGTTTAAATGTTTGGCGTTAAAATGTTTAAATGAGAAGTGAAGTGTTGAAAATTTTATAAAGTTTTCCTTCCATCAAATAAAAGTAATCAGATAAAGTTTAATTAAAAAATGACTGGAGTGAATGATGAAAATTCAGTTGAGTACTTTTTGACTGTGAATCAGCATGCAAGAAAAAAAATGCAAAAGCTGCAATTTCATTCACTGACGTTAAGTTGTAATATAAATATCATAAATATAAAATTCAACAAATCCTTTTATTAAGCTCAGTTTAATGAACAAATAATAAAATCTCTTTGAAAGATCTGCGAACTTAATTAAAATATAAAAGAAAATTTCTTTAGAAAAGTGCTTTGTTTTTTTCAACTTAATTTACCTCATGTAGTTTTAATTAAAAATGTCGATGTAATTAGTCATCGTGCTGGAATGATAAATTAAAGACTTCAAAAGATTTGTTAGAAATAACGAAATACGTGATGTTTTTTCGTAGGTTGGCTACAATGTTATTAATGTAGGATGATTACTGTTAACAACATTTAATATATTTTTTCTATTCACTCATTATAACAAAATAAACGAAAGATTCAAGAATCATTAAATACATAGATTTTATTGTTTGATTAATGGAATGACTTTTTTTTCATTGTCCAGAATTTTCTCTGCGAAGCTTCCGATAAAGTCAAAAGGTTTGATTTAGGAAATCATTGAAAGTCTCCTGAAACTTCACTGACCTGAATCTCCAATCAATTTCACTTGTTTGAAGTCAAGTGACGCCTAAATCATCCAATTTGTTACCCTTTTCATTTGAATTCACCATTTAGATTTTCTGTGAGATTTTAATTGTGTTGTTTTTAATTAGATGCTTTTTAAAAGTAATTGAAGATTCTCTTTGTTACATTGTTCGTCACTTTTAAAGCGAAGTAAAAAAATCTTTGTTCTCATAGCCCCAAGGCTTGAAAGCAATTTATAAACTTTTGATTGAATTGTCTAAAGAAGAGATCGATTTTGAAGCCTTGGGTGATAGAAAGAGATTGAATAGAGAACAGATTAAGTATCTTCATGAATAAACTCAACCAATAAACGTGTGAACTTTAAGTTCTGTGGTTGAAGAGATATTTTGCAAGATTTTATTTTTATCAAAAAGCTTCCAGGCTGTAATTATAGCACAGCAAAGAACGATGGTTGTAGTCATTATATGAAATATCAGCAATTAAAAATTCTTAAATCATCAAGAGGATAATTCAATATTTAATATTTTTAAATGAAAAATCTTTACAAAGTAAAATGCCAAAGTTGAAAATTTTAATAAGATTCAAAAATTTAAATTTTACTTCTTCAAGTTATATCTAAATAATTCATGCTCACTGTATGTACAGAACATAATTAATTTATTAAACCTGAAACGAAATCTTTTAATTGACTATTTATAGTTTATTCACATGCCAGGAATATTTGAATGAATTTTATAGAACTTTATTGATTTAAACTTGACTAGACATCAAACGCCGCTTGATTAATTGTATTTTGTTATCCATTACTCAAAAAGTTTAGCAAACATTTTTTTCGTCATAAAGTACTTTTAGAATATAATTTGTAATGATAGTTTTTCGGGCTATCTTTTGACATGTTAAACATTAATATTATTTTTAGATTTATTTCATAAAACTTGAACAAAAATTTCACTCATTTACCTTCACTTCATGATATTAAAAATATTTTAAACTCCAAATCAACTTCCTAAAGGGTTAAAAATTTGGTTTTCTGATAAATTGTCAACAAAGGATTGTTGAATCCTCATAATAAATTTATTTGTTCGTTGTTAGAAATATTTTTTGTATCCTTATCTAGACAATTTTCTTGCCGATAGCCATGAATAATTTTAAATGTCAAGAAGTTAAATTTTTGAAGAGTCTTTTACTTTTATGTTTCTATAAACAAGATCATAAATTTCATGTTGAAGTAATAAATTTAATTTCGACCCTTTCAGATCACTTCAAAGAAAAGTTATTGTCCTTTACATAATCGACAAAGTATTGAAATTCATTGAAGCAAACAATCAAATCCAACAAAGTCATAAATATTTTCAACTTTTCCTTTTCCAATAATTTTAAAGCTTTTTATAAGCTGAATGATTTTCCAACAACTTTATGTCGCATCTTTCGTTGATGTTTTATTAAAATTAGCGAATAAATCTTAAATTTTGCAGAGACAATAAAATAGCGATATTAGTTTCACGTTTATGACAACATCAATTAAGAATAAAAGGAAGTCATTATTCAGACTACTCTTGATGCATAAATTAATGCGCTTTAAAATTGAAACTGTAGCATAAAAAGAACTTCCCTTTGATATTTATGACATAACAACCAATTGATATTCATAACATATAGAAAACGATTAAAACAAGACATCAAACTCGTTATCCAACTTTGCTATTTATGATATTTTTTATAGTAAAACATGGAATTTATGTGATTATTCTATAGTTATTTTTAGATATGTTTTGACTTAAAAATCAATTAATTGTTTTATGATCAAGAAGAATTTTTATATTTTTAATCTAAAGCGACGATAAATGAACAGGTCAAGTTAGATTATAAAGGGATATTAAAAGTTATAGCTTCATATACTAAGAATAAAACATTTAGAAAAAGAGATAAAACACTACAGACAAGCCCCTAGAGTTATTAAAAGCAGACGGTGTTGTTGAGGTTTTCCTACTAGAAACTCCTCAGAAACTTCAAGGGTAAAAGTGCAGATCCTGCAGATTTTTTTCTCTCGAAATTTCTCACCTAAACCTAATAAATGACCAAACAAAAATTGCTTTTCTTTTCAATAAAAATTGCAGGCGGTAAGATCATAAATCTCCTTTTACGGTCACATTATTTTCACACGTTAGAGTAGGTTGCTTGTTCCCGCAATATTGACATAAAAAGGTCGAGCGAGAAATGTTTTGCTTAGCACTAAATTGTGAAACTCTTAGAGCAATAAATTGAAAAAGCTTTTATTTCAATATTGTTCTTTAAGATACTTTATAGAACAAACAGAAATTTGTATGCATGAATTTATGATGAAGATTTCAATACAGACTGTTTGAAAATACTTAGATTATTTTATATTATGTAATATTTTTGATTATCTATTTAAAAATTATCTGACATGCTTCCGCTTTTAAGCATAAAACAGCAAAATTGAATAAAGGAAAAATTATTTTTAGACACAAAATTGCTTTATATTGTGGAAAAAGCGTAGAATTGCAATTAGTGAAATATTATGATTAAGATACATTATAAAGTTAAACCCAAAAAAAATGTGAACATCCGCAACATTCATCACGTTTATTACCAACAATTTAAGAAAAAATATTCGTATGAGTTTTGATCATATTTTTATGAAATCAACAGTTTCAACAATATGTTGTTTGCACGAGCAATTATTTATGGTACTCAGTGTGTTGTCCTTAGCAACAGTTTAATATAAAAGCTGACTCCACCATCACATAACGAGTTCTGAAATATTCATTAAGAACCTTTGATCATTTATATGCATATTGGTAGACATAGCGACGCAAATCGTTGCTGCTTTTAATTTAGTTAAGTTAGGAAAATTCAGCCTAAATGACAATTTTAGCACATTGAAAATTCGCATATAAACCAAAGTACAGTTGAATTGAACCGATATTTTGTATATCCAATTCAAATTGAGTTTCAAGAGGAATCAAGCGCTTAGAAAAAGCTTTAGCAAAGGACTTTCCGAATATTGATTTTTGATAGGAGTTCAACAACAAAAGATACTTATTTTGTACACCCAACACTGCGGGTTTCTTAACTGCAGTACGTGATGCTTGTTGATGATACTCACACGAAAGCTTACACGCATAAATTACCTTTAGGAAATTTCAGGGACAACTTTCAATATGCGTATCAACTTGAGAAAATTTCTTCATTGAAAATGTTCACAAGGCAGACATTTGAGATGATTGAAAGATCTTTTTGCTTTCTTTTTCTTCCATGACCTTTAAAAAAAATTCAAAAAGATTTAAGAAACTTCAAAAGCTCTTTGAAAGCAAATTTTGTTAAGCTAACTCGCACAGATAATTTTATTTATAAGCAGAAATCTTATACATAAAAGCAAATTTTTTTTATTTCAACAAAATTCACTTTTCGGTTTTAGGTCGTCGAGACTCGAGAGTGAAAAATATTATCACAATAAATAGATTATGTCAAGTGATAAATGCAAAAAGTCACAGAGTGGAAATTTTCATCAGAACTAAATATGAGTAGTCAAATGGAAATGGAGACAAAAAAATTTCTTTCCATTTTTAGTTTTAATATAATTCAACAAGATGTTATTTTTCATCTATTTGATGGAGAAATATCTACACATTCACTCAATGACATCAGATATTGTTATGTGGTCCTTAAAGGACATTTCATTTTTGATGCTAGAGGTCAAGCAAACATCATAATCATCTACATAAAATAAGAATGGCTATATAAAACATATCTCACACTGAGTAATAGCCTGTCCATTCGATTGCTTATAAAAAGTGTTTTACTTGGACAGGAACAGACAGCGGGTGAATAGATAACGTTTGATTTTGTACGCAAAAAGTTAGGAGAAAAAAATTTCTTCGTCTTTTGTGTCTATTAAAGCTTTCAAAATTGAACGAACGTTCACTCGTTTCATTCTCAATTGAGAATCAGAGCGAGTTGCTCAGTTTTCCTTTGCATCGAAATGTTCTCGATGTTAGCATGTGAGAAATCAAATTTCTTCATCAGTTAACTTGCGAACGTTGAATCGTCAGGTAGATCTCAAATTTCTCCTCAAATTATTCAATAAATTTTAAGCTAATTACACATGTAAAAGGTTGTAATGAGCTCAACTTTGTAATTTAATAAAATTCACAAAGAACCCGAACTTTGATGACAGCGGATTACATCAAAGAACGAGATGTTCTCTCACGTAAAATTCAATGTGAATATCTAATTAAAGACCTAAGACAAGGTGAAAGGAAGGAATGTCAAAGTGGCATAGCTTGTTTGAAAATTTAAAAAGTTAAAGTCAAATAAATGTTTGATTAACAATTAAAAAACGATTATTCGGTGCTTAATTAGGTCTTGAGAAAAATATAAAATAAAAGCTTTCATTTGTAAGACTTTTAAAACTTTAAAAGCATAAATTTCTGAGTTTACAATCTACATTAAAATTTATGTACGAAAGGATAAAAGTGAAAGTTATAATTGGAAAAGGTTTTTGTAGACGTCACACCATAAAAAAGGTTAAAAATTCAAGTTTCTCCACTTCATGGATACTTCTCAAAATGATGAATTGATGTGGTTATCATAACTTCTTCTTATATTGTAATTGAGTGGTCCTTTTGCCAACAGAATACTTAAGTGAAGCGAACGAATATGCTGTGTACAAATTCCAAAATTAATTAAAGGACGAGAAAAGTTTTCTTATACAAGCCATTTTTTGGAAAAGTGCCAACATTCGCTTTTTTTTCGGCTTGTAAAAATATTTAAATTATTTAATAAATTACCTACAGAAATTTATGTTGGTAAAGTGGAATAACAGAAGGAACGAAATGTCGAACCAGGACAGGAATTAAATATGTGTCTCTAGTGAAATCTTTCTCTTGGCATTCGAATGGCTGTTACTATTAATGGCTGTCTATTATGTTGCTAGCAAATTATCATTTGTTGCTTGCAGAACTCGTTGCATAAGTGAAAGAAGGAGAAGAAAATATTTCAACGACGATGACAATTTAGAATCAACACAAAAGAATGAAACTAATTGGAAAGAAGACGAGGTCAGTATTTTTTGCTCTCTCTTATCTTTCGAGGCATTTAATAGGAATATCCTTAAATTTTATTTCCTACACGATCTTACCGAAAGCATCCGGAAATGAGAATTTGCTTGTTTTTATTCCTCTGTTGGTTGTCCTACAATATTTATTGTTTTTATCGTTCTCCTTTAATGTGAAACTTACACATGTTGAATATCAACTGTTTTCAGCCTTTAATTTGCTTCTCGCCTAAACGGATTACATAAAAATTTATTTGATGTGAAAGCAATCTCTTGAATCGTGATGATAATTTTATTTTTTTACGGGTTTTCATCAAACTGTTCAGTCTTATATTCGTACCTTCATAAAAACGTTTCCAAAATTGATGTCAATGAAGATTACTTTCAGCCATAAATGGAATAAATTGGACAGCAATGAAGTGAACGTTGTAATATTTTAAGGTTGTTGTCTGAAAGGTTTATATTTTTAAGTTGAGGCTTTTTATTCTTCCTTCCGGTTTCGCCCAAAAAAAGCTTAGTCGTAAGAATGAAAACCTTCTTATGTACACAGAACAGGATGGAAATTCAATTGTCTAAGATGTAAAAAAAAAGATTACGTGAAGTTTAAATTATGTAGTCCCAAACATTTGTTAAAGGTCTAAAGATTAATTTTTTTTATCATTTCAGTAATTCTTGAAAACAGATTTTAATTAGCAGAAAAGCTTTTCTGAAAGAAATAATTCCAGTTTAATTTGTCGACAAGATCTAAGAATGTGGTTGGGTGGAGTTGCTAAGTATTTATGAAATCTTAATCCATATTAAGCAAGTTTAATTGACAGTAATTTCCATTCCCCAATTCAACTGGAAAGAATTTATCTTCTCATGGTTCTGCACTTGTAAAATATTTGCTTTTAAGATTTCACGTCTTGTCCAAGACTTTGTTTGTGCTTTTTCTTTTCCCTTCACTGGATATTAAGTGCCATGATTTATGGAGGTGATCTAAAACATTCCACATCATAATTTCCAATTCCGACCTCATGTAGGGATAAAAAGTGTTAAAAATCGTTGAGGATTTAACTGATCTAAGTAGATATTTATTGAGAATTATTTTGTAATGTTTCGAATGATTTCAACATGCTCCATTAAATGTGAGATTACTTTTTATTTTCTTCTAAACTGTAATTCTATAAATCTTTCTTTTCAAATAAAAAATCGTGTAATAAAAGTCGATTTATGGTTGGATCAGAAAATTTAAAAAACATTTCTTCTTGGTAAAACGCTCATAAAAAATGGAAAAATTTCCAAATCTTATGAACATTTCTAAGCTTCTTTAAAGTTTTATTCAAGCAAAATTAAGCTGAAATTAATTACCAAAGTTAAGCAAGCGTAAACATTCATGATGCTCTAAGGACTTTAAAACCTTCTTAAATTCGGTGTTCTGAAGTTTTCTTTTCAGTTGGGCAGGAAGAAACGTATTAAGATGAATTAAATCTTTTTTTCCTTAAGTTCTGTTAAAAAAGCAAATTTTAATCCCCACAATTCTTTTTGGTTTCAAACTTTTCTAACTTTTAATGTATTTTCATCAATTGAAAGTTCATAAAACTGTTTTTGCAAACAAATTTTAATTAACTTAATTTATTTAGGAAATTCAATTAATTGGGATGCAAATGCATCTTTTCATCTCTGAATTCGTTCAAAAGATGAAATCAAATAAAATTTCCATAACTTCATTTCTTATAACTTGAAAAGTTCTTTAAATGCACAAAGTCAGAGCATGGATTTTTATGGTAAAAGCTTAATGGTTTTCATTTTTTTCCTGTTTCGTTTAAGCTGATTAAAACTTGTTTGACGAATCCGAACATCTTTATAAGATCTCTCGGCCATGTATCTGAAGCAAACAGCAAAAATGAAGCAGACGAGACAGAGCGAGTAAGTGCTGAGCTTTATGATTGAAATTTTTTATAAAAGAAGATTTGAAAACCAATAACAATTCGAAACAATCATTTCGAGATGAAAAGCAGAACATTTCAAGCTTTTGATTAAAAGTTTATTGTCAACAAATATCAACTGATAAAAAAAAAATTGAGCATCAATTCGATTTGTGTTCTATTTGATTTCAATCGAAGATATTACATATCATTCGTTCCTTAAATCTGACATCATGAATATTTTTGTGCTTCAACAAGCAAACAATGCTATTTGAAATACGTCTCAAAAGGACATAAATATTTATAGCTAGAGAAATAAATGTACAATAAAAACGAAAAGGAAAGTTTCATTAAATTTTTTATAACGTAGATAAGTTTTATGACAGAAGTAATTTAAATTTTTTTGATGCATCCATCACTTTTTGAGATAACTTTAAACTTTGAAGAGCTTTCCGAGATTCTTCTTTCTCTTATATAGTTCTGAAGGCTCCTTCTAGATCGATCATTCATCTCAGATTTTTCATTTCAAAGTTTCTTTCAGTGCTTTGTTGAAATCTGAACTTTTCTCCTAAAGATCGAAGGATAAGAAAATAAATCTTAATGGAAATTTTTCCTCTGAACTGAAACTTTCCATGTATGAAGACTTTATCCACTTTTCATTATAATTCGACATATTGCTCATGAGATTATTGAACACCTGAGTGTAATCTTTAAATCATTTATTAAATTTCTATTAATGATGAAATGAATGTTTCAAGCTGTTCAAAATTTCTTTCCATATCTAAAAAATTTAATGAAAATTTTATGGTAATGCAATATTTCAAAATATTTCAATTTAAGTCACGTTTACTTTTCACAACTGTTAGGTAAACAAAATTACGCAGAATGATTCAGCATCAAGCGTGACCTTCAACGGAATCGTGACGGATATCAACGGGATGGTTGTAAATATCCCATTCAGAATTATTCGGGAATTTATGATGATAACTCAGCTCTTTCTTTTATTGTTTTCTTAGTTAAGTGGACCATTGGAGATTTTAATGACTTTATTGATTCCCCAAGACTCGACGGACATCGATCAAGTGAGTAATAAAAACGATTCCGATTAAATTTCTCATCACATAAACACAAGTTCATCTTATCTATGTTTATATCACAAGTCATACGTATCATTCATGTTATTAAATTATGTCATCATAGCCGTGAAAAAAATCAATAATTTTGCAATCATCTTTCCAGAATTTCGTTTTCTCGTTTTTGCTGTCGAGTAGAATTTTTCTGCAGCCACATGAATTGTTGGGTAAACTTATCAAGTCAGTGCCTGAGAATGATGAATCACTGGAGCGTTTGGTGGTCATGATGGACGAATGGACAAGGGTGAGTATTAAAGATTCATTATTCGTTTTTGAGGTGGATTTAGAAATGAGAAATTGTTTCTTTCTTCATATTTCTTGTTTAGTGGTTTCCTTATGATTTCCGAGGAGAAGAAATTATGACGCTCATTAAACATATCGCCGCGAGATGTGGTTCGAATACACTATTAGGTGATCGAATGTCTGATATTTTGAGTGCCTTGCTAATCAAATTGACGGATTTGAGTCAACATGAAGAAGAAATGAAGTCATTCAAGAGGCCATTGAGTGAGGTGACTTTTTCTTAACTTTATTATTAAAATCAACGATATTGATTAATTCTAATTCTATTTAGGAAGTTGTTGTTTGGCCAACTTCATCAAAGCTTGCTCAACTTTTATGTCATTTCGAGAAGAGATTTGCAAAACATATCGGACCGGAAGAGTTTGTTCAATGCAGTTCGAATCTCATAAAACAACAATCTTTGCAGCAATCAAATTACGATGTTCCATCATCTACCTCAGCATCGTCATCATCACAAGTCCAACTACCGGATTTAAAAAAGAAAACTTGCAATTTAGAAAACTATTTCGATTGGTCAAACCGTTTGCGGGTGCTAGTGGCTAATGAAATATTGCAGGTAATTTGATGTTATCGTTGATGATAACTCAATCATCAAATTTGTTTTTCCATTCTCCATTTATGAAATTGTTAGTGTACTAACGAAACGGATCGAACGAAGAGAATAGAATTATGGAGTAGCGTAGCACAGCACTGTCTGCTTGTCGGAAACTATAATTCAGCGACATCAATACTTGAGCCGATTTGTCGTCTACAGACAATGGTAAGATTTAAGGACTGTTTTTCCACGCTCTGACGCCACACGATTCGTTTTCTGTCTGTCCTTATGTCACTCAAATCCATGAACGAACCGTCGCAAAACAATTTTTATACGCAAAAAATGAAAACGTAGAGTTTTAGTTTTCCGCTTCACTCAATGATTTGATTTTTCCAATGTATTAACATTTCCATAACAACAGAATAAAAAACTTTATGAAAGAATTTTCTAAAGGTTTCGTCAGCTTCTCATTCATGGCGGTTCATATGTGAGCTGCTCAACAAACAAATAAACAAACATGAAAGCAAACAAGTTGTTGCTGTAACAACAATATGTGGAAAAATAAAATGTTTCAAAAGTGAAATCATAAAAGATACTTTTTAATGTGAAATTTAATGACATTTTGCAATTTTATGTTGTGAAAGAAAGTTTACAACTTTTTTGAATGTCTTGAAAGACTGGAGGATATTTGCAGTTCATTCATTGTTGCATTTGAAATCAACTCCAAGTGAGATGTTCAAGACTAAGATGTTGACTCTTTAACGATTGTAAGTCTGGAATCGATTTACTTTATTTTTTACGAAAAAAGTAAACAACAAGATTTATTAGAAAATTGTTTTCGCGTTGTTTGATTAATGGCTTGTGATGACGACCAAATGAATGGCACATCACAAATTCAATTCATTTTTCATCAAGTAATTTATAAAGGAAAGCTTGTAAAAAGCAAAATATTGACAGAAGATGTTCCATCAATAAATTTTTATGAATTTTTGTAAACAGAAGAATTAAACGAAGAAAAACAAATTTTTTAGATATTTGAGGAAATTTTTTTTAAAAAGTTTTCATGCTTGAAAATATTTCATGATGAACATGGTTAATTAAACTACCCTTGTTGATTAAAAATAATATTAATATCAATGTTGGAAAACATTAAAACAACCCAAGCTATGAATTTCGGTTGATAATTGTTTACACCAATTTTATTTCCAAATGAACATCAATTCTCATTTATAAAACGTTTAAAATTATCCTCACTACGTTAAGTAACTTAATTGGTCTTAAAAGCAGATAAATAAGTATTCAATGAGTTCATTCTCGTTTGGATTTCACTTCATTAAATGTTAAACGTGAGTGTAAATGTAAAAGTTCTTTGACAAAAGCATGAACATAAATTTAATTTAATGCGACTCATTACATCGAAAAATATCGTGTGTGACGTTTTCAACGACTAAATTTGTTTTTAACAATTTTTTCTACAGTGGAAAAGAGTTGTGTCATTGACAAATCAGCAGCAACTCGATTGCTTACTAAAGCATATCGAACATTCACAAGATTTGAATTTGTGGAGCAAGCAAACCGAAAAATCGAACATTGGAAAAAGTAGCGAAAGTCGAAAAAAAGAAAAGCGAATTCAGATCATCACACCAAATTCATCACCACCACCCACACAACGCAACCACTCTGAATCATCCATCACTAAAGTTCACCAAAAACCCAAATCTGAATGGGTTGTTCTGCCAGTCTTCGTAGATATTGTTAAATTGGCTTTAAAAGCTCGAGAAGATTGTAGCACAAGGTAAAAGTTGTAGATTAGAGAACATTTTGATTCATGTGACTCACTTTTCATATAAATTCTCTAACTTTCTGTCGTCTTTTTTTCTCTCCTTTTACTTTATTTCAATAAAAGAATGCCAAATGGTTCAATAAATTTCTGCGCTTTTAATGAATTAGCTGCCATTGTTTCCGCTTTCACAATTCACATGTCAAATGTGCCTGTTTCACCAGCAGGATGCAGTGGTGAATACAGTTACCTTGTTAATCACATTTTAACATGTACATTGAGAGACGAGAATGGTAAAAAAGAAAATTGACTCAGATAATTTACATTCGATTAATCTTCTTCTTTTATTCCTTTTCTTCTCAGAGTTATTTGCAGCATTTGAAAAGGAAGCATCTAAAATAGAATCGTATTACGATGTTCCTTGAACATAGACGTTTGAAAGTGGGAGAGACCATAGAAGAAAGTAAATAAATATGAAACCATAAATTTATCTCAATGCTGTAAATTTAAGTGGAACAACTTTATTCATCGTAAGAAAAAAAAAGCATTAATTTTGTGTATTTTATGTGAAAACTGCAAAGCCCGTAAAGCATTGTTGATTGTAGAAAATAAACCATTTCTAAGTCATCCAATTATAAGAAAAATATTCCATGTTTATTTATCTTTATAAATACAAATAAGGACTGAACATTTTTATATCGATTCGATTTATGGAAAGCGAAAAAATATAAATAAGAACACATTTAAATAATAAATCTGAATTTATGACAAAGATATTTGCATATTTATTAGAATTGAAATCTTTGAAATTCCAGTAATAATTCTTCGAAGTCAAAATCTTATTTTTCAGTCAGCAACACTTTGGAAATCTACAAATAAATATTTTGCTGTTTTGAAACATGATTGCAGATTCCAAGCAAACAAAATTGATTTTAAAAGCAATTATTTTATTTCTGATGAAAAAGTTAATTAAACTGATTAGAGAACGATAAAGCAGTTTAAATGCAAATTGTTGTTTTTAAATCTAAACTTTTTGTCAAATATAAACTCAAAACATTTAAAATTTTAATGAGGTATTTATCATGAGGTTTCGAAAGTTTTCTCCATTTTTGTGTTTGTGTAAACTGCAGAATTCTGGGCAAAATGAGTCGTCAACTGCATCTTCCATTAATATAACCAAGTCATAAAATGTGGGCGTTTCAGTAGCTAAGAAGTTTAGCAACTGCTTCTGAAAGCTTTCAACACACTTTTTTTCTTTCTTCGCTCTGTTGATTTATTACTTACTTCGCAAAGCACGTAGAATTTGCGGGAAGAGAATAAGAACAAAAATAATTAGATATGTAGAGTAAACATTTGAGAAGCTGAACGAACAACTTTCTTCTCTTTCCATGTCTTCACGTCAAATATATAATTACAGGAATATGAATGAGTTGAAAGCATTATGATTTTCATCAGCAACAAAGTTCAATAACTGATGTTGGTGCTTTATGTTAAAAAGGTCAAAAGTCTTGAAATCAAAATTTAACATCAACTTTAAACAGAAATTTTTTGTTATCAAAATTTTGCATAACGACCATCAATTGCATAAATAAAAAGAGATTTTATTCCTTCTTTCATAAATTCTCATAATAAAACATCCACAACTCATCTTAAAATTCTCAGATTGTTCATAATTTTCATTTCATGATGTTTTGAAAAGAGTTTGAAAAGTTTGAAATGTAAAACCATTTCGATGTTTCATCAACAACACTTAAAGCTTTCCAGCATAAATATTGATGTGACCTAATTGACATCACAAGCATGACGCAAGAATTTTAAACCTGCAAGTGACTCATAATTTATTCACTGCTTTTATATCAATTAACTTTAATTCTGAAATATTTTTAGAGACTTTTTTAATTCGCTCTCACTAATTAATTAATAAATCAATGAGATGAGAAAGCGATAAAAAATATCCAAGGACTGAATGAACAAAAAGTTTCACACTTGTCACTGGGTAAAAAAACATTTTTTGTTTCTTTCGACTATTTAATGAAATTTATTTATGCAACAAATGTTCGACACATTTTTTTTGTGTGCAGTTTTGTTCCAAAGTTGGTTTTTCACAGATTTACTTCCGGTGTTTCAAACTTAAAGTTTAAAGCGTTATTCGATGCAGCATCCAGTTTATAGATTAATTTCAATCTCCAAATCTGATTACGTTAAGGGTTTACTTGCTTTTATCAGAAATAAATGGAGTGGAGCTTTCGTTGCCATGCTTCAGTTAACGTTAGCAAGTATTTTTTAATTGACACATGACATGTTATCCACAGCTTTTAACCTCATCCATACTTTTTTTGTCAAAACCAATTCACTACCCTTTTATCCCTCAATTTAATAGTCTGATTCAAGCTGTTCCCTGATTCTCTTAGTTTTTCCAATACTTCATTCAAAATCTCGTTTAATTTTTTTGGTTTCAAACACTTTTACAATGAATTCACAACAAAGAGTTTCATCAATAAATTTTCATGTCACAAACTTTTTTTTTACTTTTCTTTCCTCACAAAGCATTTGGAAATTGGTTTCTCCAAGAATACCCATTGTTAAATAAACGAATCATTTAAAGAAAGTTATATGTTGGCTTAAACAGTTGAATAATTAAACAGAAACTCATTGCAATTAGTGAAAGTATTGCTTAAACATTATCTTTGTAGGGACTTTTATTTAACGAGAGCTGTAACAAAAACTTCAAATTGAATCGCTTTTTTAATTAGTTTTCAAACTTTTGGCTTATGAAAAACATTTTCTATTCTGCTTGGGTTCATATTTTATGAAGAATCATCTTTTCGCAAGAACATTTAAAACTTCAAAGAAAATACTTTGTGATAAAATTTCTTCAACTAAGTCAATTAAAAACAATTCGTTAGGAGAAACATAAATCATTTGAGCAGAAATTCTCTAAACTGCATTTTCTTATCCTGTTTGCTTACATTTGCCAAATACCATAATGAATCTGAAATTTGTTCTTTCAATATTTTCCTTTGAGATTTGTTTGTGTAAAATTTTTGTTGCTTATAAGTATATCAAATAAAATTATTTTATTCTCTTCGGTTAGAATTCCAATGAGGATAATGAAAAACCACATTTAATTTTGGTTTAAATAAATATTTAAGCTATAATTTATAACATCGTGCAATCATTCTTAACAATCAAGAAGGCTGGAAATATCTTATTCATCTTTCGAATCTTTGTTAAATTGTATTATAAAACCAATTTTAATGGTCGGTTGAATAAAATTTCTTTTTTGCTCTCCTCTTCTGCACAGTTTGGTTAATCCTAAGTTTTTCTTGAGCCTTTATGGTGGTCATAAAAGCTTAAAGCCATTTCTTCATTCTTTACATATATCTTGTTCAAGCTTATTGTATCAATTTGATTAAAAAAAAGAATTCTAGAAAATGTTTGTGAAATCATCGCAACCTTTTCAGGGGGCTTTCTGAAGAGTTTTCTGATTTCTATTCAAAATTTCATCAAACCTTATCAAAAAAACATCATTATTCTCATATACAACCGACTATCTTTGAAAATACTTTAAATAACAATAACTTCCTGAAGATAGAGTTGTAGAAAAAAAAGATGAAAATCTCTCTTTTAAGCTCATCAGATATTGATTTATATTATGTTTTAAATTATGCTATGATTATAAATTATTTTTTAAACCCTTCATAAAATTTTTAAACCTTTCGAAATTTATTAGAATGCTTCATATTCTCATATTTAACATAAAATATTGATTTGATTTAAAAGAGGAATTTTATTCTTTATGAATTTCGATACATATTTTATTTCCACATGATGTACTCACCCACAATACTTGAACCCAACAAATATTCACATAAAGGTTCTGATCATATTTTTATCAATGAAGCTGCCCAAGGAACTAAATGTGTAGGCGGATGGACATTGGCATTTTCTGAAGAAACGAATTACATTTTTTACTTCTGAGTTGGATGTTCTTAGTAAATAAGAGAAAATAAAATGACATAAAATGCTTTTTTAAGTCTGTGGATGTTTATCAAGAAGATTTCAGTATTATTAATGTTGCTCTATTTGCTTTTTAAATGTTTAAAAGGGACGATAAATAAAGGTTTGTTTTTGTTCGTCTTGAGATTCCAAGTTGAACATTTTCTCGATAAAATATTTTGACACTTTTCATTGAAAGTTTTGCTTTTGCCATAAAATATGAAATGTCAATCAAGACAAGTTGACATAGAAAAATAATTAGAAACGTTTCTTTGGCTGTTTAAACTTAAAGAATTTCCCAAGATTTCTACAAATTTTTTCAAAAGAATGTTTTTAATTATTGATGTCACTTTGAGTGGTCGGTCCATGGAGACCTGCCGTGGAACTTTTTTTTAAATTGTTTTGAAATTAATCTACGACATTTTCTCTTGCAAGGAAAAACTTTTAACAAATTTTTAAAGTAATTTATGAAGACCCAAACCAGCATTAAAAACCGTAACCTTTCTAAATTTATATTTGGCCTTTAATTCGGCTATATTTAAAGAAGACTAATGGACCTCAAAACCTTCCATTGAATCGCGAAACATTTTTTGCCATGTATCCAATCTGAATACTGTTTTGTTTTATTTCCTTTTATTTATTAAGTGAAGAATGAGGTTAAATCGTTTTTTGTTCTTATACATTTTTTTATTTATGATGGCTTCCGACCCAAATAAGCTGTTATTTGAGCTTTTTTGTAACACAAAAGTAACCATTAGCGTTATCTTCTTCACGTTTTATTTTCATACGAGTGAGTGGAAGCTGTGATGGATGCCATGGAAATTTATTTTCTGTGTTTTAGCAAAAAAAAAGGCAGACGAAAAGTTATAAACTTTGAATACTTATTTAGAAACTTTAAAAAAACTTTGTTTGGATACAACTTATGTTCTTGCTAAAAAGGTTGTTTCAAGCGTATCTATCCAGTTTATCTTGGCCAATATGTCCAATGTGACAACTGCTTTCGTTATGACTTCACATCACACAGTAAGAAGGTTAAGTAACTTTTCTATCTTCATGTACATCGTCAGTCGGATAACTAAGTAACATTTAATGTCTTCCAGACTATCTTCCGAAATAATTAATGTCAAGTTGCAACCCCTTCAAACAGCTGTAATAAATGGAAATTTACATCAAAATTGTGAAAGGCGGTCAAACACTTCTGTGATGTAATGGAGATGACAATGACTTTGATAATCTTTCATTGTCAATCGTCATGTTTCAGGATTAAGAAAGGAATTCAAAAGAAATGGAAATATTTATCAGTTTCTTTGTATAAAACAATGAATCGCATTATGTTTTGATAAATTGAGGAAATTTCTAAGAAAATGAGACTACGTCATAAGAGGCTTTTCCGGAAAAATCTCATTCATTTAAGTTGGGTACGCAAAGTAAATCATAAAATACTGAACAGGATTTTCATGAATGTTTTTCAGGTCAGCATTTATCCTTATGCTTAGATTTACATTCCAAGCTTAGAATTCATTCTCAAATGATAATAAAAATGTCTACATGGGACTTTGACTTTGAAGTTCAGTTTGAAATGAAACAAGAAAGAGTTGTCAACGAAATGTGTTCGTAGAAGAAAAATATTCTTTGAATTTAGTGCTTTCAATGTTGTGTCATGGAAGAGGAAAAAAATGTTCGTTGACAGGAACATTTTGTATGCTCACGAGAAATAACTTTCATCACGAATAATGAACAACAAAAACACATTTGAATCTGTGTAACTTCTGATGAATAAATTTTATTCACATCGAAACTCAACTTTGCACGAAATTGATTTGCTCAGCACATTTAAGTTCGTCGAAAATAATTTTGTTTATTTAAAACTTTGTCTTATTAAGAATGTTTTCTTTTAAGGCAAACTAATTTAGAGTTTGAAAACTTTAAAATTATGCAACACGAAATAAAATGTCATAAATGAAATATTCTTAGTTATAGTTAAAATCAAAGTTTTGACTTCACGAACTTTATGCAGAACTTAAATTTACATATTTGCGTGGCATGCAAAGCACATGTTTTTTTTAAATAAATAAATATTATGTTAAAATTCATTTTATAACTTTTTTCATAAATTGTATGAAGATTTATGTTTAATTTGTGGAAATTGCTGCTTTAAAGAATCGAATCAGCATATTTTTGAATGCTTTTACACAGCTCAGCTGAAATAATTTAATCCATCATTTTATTTCTTACTAAGTTATTTTTTAATTTTTTTACTTCGATTATAAGATGTTTATGTAATCAATCTATAGACACGACGAACTTGACAATTGACAAATTGAATTTCTATCAACATCACTTGAATTCTCGTTACTCGTTAAAGATTTTTTTTCATTTAACGTCAATTGTTCGAGTTGAGAACAGACATTAATAAGAGTCGATACCCTCCAGTTCTTGTTTTCAAACCGTTTCATCATTTTTTACATTTTCAATTTATATTGTCATTAGAACTCGCGTTGAAAAAGTTTCAACAAAAAGGGAATGTTTCCTTTCTCAAAATGATTTTTTGATTAGTACTGAGCTCATCGATGCAGATGTTTCAATAATGCGACATCTGAGGTTTGATGAAAAATTCAGCTAGCAAAAGTTTCAAATTTTTTATCTCATGTAACTTTCTTTTATACATGATGAGAATTTCAAAGAAAACTTTCTCCATATGTGGTGATGTAGTTTATTAACTAAAAAGTATGAAAATAGGTAAAAAATGATGGGCTTTGTCATGACATTCTTTGACATGTAGGATGTGTAGATATTGACTTGTGAATTCATTGCTTATCGATTTCGAGCAGACTTTTTTTTATCAATTTAACATTTATCGGATATGCAAATATATCAACATAGGAATAAATTGAAATTGTTGAGAATTTAGCATAATTCTCCGATGTTTTTTAAAGACAAGAAATATCTTTAAAAGTGTGAAGGGAAAAATCCATTGACACGACACTTTAATCTAACTTGTCAACTCATGAATGAAGCACTGATGTTTTCAATTATTTTTTACGAGACTGAAACCAATTTTTCACTTTCTCCACTCAGCAGAATTAAATGCCTTCTATCAAACGTTTGAAAGTTTGAAATGTCGCATGGAACGGTCGTCAAAAGATATAATAAAAGTTGAAAAATGTGATAATTTTCCATTAAAAACATTTTTTGTCCAATCATTTTATGTTCAATTAAATTAATGATGAAAAAAAATATCAAATCATTTAAGGGTCGAAAAAAGAAGAAGAGGGAAAAAAAAATGAAAATTCATAAAGCGACCCTTAAAAAGTTTCATCATTTATTTCAATTGAATCTCTTTAGCTTCTTCAATTGAATTTTTCGCCACCAATTTATTGAACAAAAAATTAGAGGAAAGAAATCCCGTTATGGAATGAAAATGTGAGAAGTTTTAAACCAATTGATTTCCTTTTAAAAAGTATCTTTTCTACTTGTGTATTCTACAACGATCACTAACAGAAATGAGAGCTTGCTGATATTTTCATTACGAAGCTATTTAGACACTTACATTCCAAACACTCATTAAATTACTTCCTGAAGCTGAAAATAATAATCATTTCTATAACGCTTTCACTTCCTACAGTCACAACAATCTATGTAAAAGTTAGAATTTATTTAATTATGCAGGCGAAGAGTTGAAAACATTTTTATTTTTGTAATTTAAATGAGAAGGACGAAAGAGAATCGTCCCTCATAAAACACCATGGTTGCTCCTAAAATTAAACTAATTACGAGAATTGAATTCAATTCGGGAGCTTTATAAGTTAGGAGAAAACATTAGCTTTAATTTAAAAATGCTACACTGATGATAAGTTGTATAAATAAATTATCATACGTTGTTCGTCAATAAAACATCTCAAAGTTTTAAATGAAAGAAAAATAACAAGAAAAATTATTTTATTCCAATATCAATTTTCAAGATGCTTGAATAATATCCGAGAATGCAAATATATCAAACAATACTCACATTACTCATCAAAAACGTGAATCAATATTTTGTATTGAATGTCAGATTTTACATGCTCATGATCGATGCTTCTTTAGCAAATCGAATGCCAATAACAGAAATTTCTTTATTATATTTTTCCTTGATGAATTTTCATCATATCGAAGATTCAGAAAGGAAAATAAATCTGAGGGAACTCATAAATTGAAGACAAAGATTTTTTTCTGTTTCTGTTATTCTAGATTTGTCTTAAATCTTTTGCTGGCAACGATGACACCACATTTTCTGCTTTCTTTCTTGGTTTATTTTTGTATAGAGACTAAAACTTTTTATTAGATGTTATGGGCAATTCTGAAAAGGAACACAAATTCGATTTATTGTAGTTGGTACCTTGTTTATTTTTGACAAATAAGAAATTGCTGTTTGAAAACTTTCTTCACGAAACACTGAAATATAAATTTTTTGGATAATTTAACATGCTTTAAGGTAGAAAATCAGCAAGATGAAAAGCTAAATCAAAAGTACATACGCGCCTTAAATCGATAAAAGTAATTATTTTCCTTCGACACAGATCTAGAAAGTAAAACGCTTCAATTAATTTATTTGTTACGCCTTTATTCTCTTCAGTAAAGAAGCTTTCAAATTAATTAATTTTTTTTCTTAGACTTTACAAAGGAAATAGCTCTGAGCCTTGCTGTTAATTACTAAATCATTTTTGGTTTCATACTCAAGAGGTTAGATCATTAATTACCTGAAGTTCCTTTGTTTAATTATTGAATCATTTTCTATGAAAGCGTAGAAATCAAAAAATACTTGAAAATAAACAAGTTTTCCGTTCCTTCATAAATCGTGAGAAAGAATCAAGCTGAGCTTTTACTCTTGAATGGGATTCCCATTATGGGAGTAGACAAGAGTTTAGAAATTGTTATTTAAACAAAAGCGAACAAACAGATCGATGGGAGATATCCACAGGCTAGTCAATGTTTACTCGAAATATCTTGTATTTATTTTTATGGAATTTTCTAACGTACATGCTTAAGATTTTCAGCCTTTGACTACCCTGTTGTTATCTTCAAGTGTTGTATTTGAGAAGCTTTATTTTATTTACACATGACATGAACTTATGAAATTAAATATTGAATGTCTCTGGTTCGCAAAAAAGAAACATTCTAAATTCTATGTCTGCATGCTCAGGCTTGAATCACCAGTAGATTCTGAATAAAGTTGATAAAAATACTCATTCGCATCTCTTTGGTTTAATATTTCAAGGCATGTGTGAACATTGTATTCTTTTACTCCCACATTGAATTTATTTTATGTAGATATTGTTTTCTCGAGGGGTTCAACAACATACCATTTCTCACTCGTTATTTTCTTAAATAAAAAAAATCCATTTCATGGAAATGATTTTCGTACTTTCACTCGTTGTCTTTGCCTTAAAATAGATTTTCAAAATTTATATAATTTGATTTTCACAGAGTGATTAATTATATAACTCATCAACAACTCAAGTACATAAATACATAACATACGCATGAACGTGTGACAGTTTTCATCATAAAAACAATAAATAACTTGGAAAATAACAAGAAAACATTTATTTACATAATTCAAGGCTGTAACCCTTTTCTTCATGGATTATAAAGACTTTAGATTAATTGCAAATGTTCCAAAAGATTATTTTCACACATTGAATATGTGCGGCTTTGTCAAGGATCAAAAGACACGAAGCAATGATGTAAAAGCCTAAGGGATGAGCACTAAGGAAAAAGTTAGATTGGCAATACTTTTGCGGGAAGCATTTCAAGATGATTTAATATGCTATCAAAAAGAAAAAAATGTTTATGCTTCGGGAATTTCATTATGCATTCATTCAATTTTTGATAACATGCTTCGATAAAATTTGAAATAAGCTTGATTTAATATGAGATGTTTAATAAATATTGAAAGCATTTTTACTTTCATCATCTGCCTTCATATAATTTAATTTCATTTTTATCAAAAGAAAGAAAATGTTTGAGAAAAGAAAAAGTTCCATGGATGCAAATTAAAATAATTTCAAACTCTTTTTCGATTCGAAGAAAACTTTAAAGTTACATATACGGCTTGAAGGAGCGTCGTGTTAATTATAATTTAATGTTAAGCCATGCATAATAATTTTTGGTTTGATTCGTTTGACGATGTTTGATATTCAACTTCGTTAGAAGTGAACCACAATTTGTGGCTCAACTAAGATCACGTTTGAACTTAAAGAACATGAACAGAATGTTTCTGTTTGACTAATTAGACATCTTTAATTCATGACAGAATTTTCTAACAAAGCTACTAAAAGTATTCAATTAAATTTCAGGTCATGATTTCCCATTGTCATGTGATATTGTATTAAGGAGTGCATTCATATTGTGATTAATCACTTCTCAGTTTACATGAAAATAGCTACAACTTCCTTGAAGTCGCCTTACATTCATTAAGCTTTCCATGCACGTACACTTAACATAGTAAAAATAACTTCAGATGAAAAGCAGATCAATTTTTCCTCCATCCATTGGTAGGAACATATGAAACAATATTCTTCATAAGGGATACATTGAAATAGTGAAGTTTATTTTAACTTAATGGTTCGAATTTAATTCTAAGAAATTTCTTCCTTTTCAAATTTATGTTAAACAATTGTGAAAATAAATCAAGTAAATTTCTACGTACACATACAGCACATTAAGATTATTCCCTAGAACTTTATATAATAGATTTTGATTACATATAAATACCTAATTCATTAAATATGAAATTGTATTAATGATTAAGAAAGGGAATTAATTATCTGTACATAAGAAAATATTAAATGAACTTACAAAGTAATCTTTTTGTGAATCATAATCATCCTTCTGAAGTCTTGTATCTGATTTTCTGGGAATTTCCTTCAACTCTATTTATTATTCACTAAGAAATATTTATTTATAGCTTTTGAATGCATGAACAGGTGCAACCTTAGATACAGTCGGGAAATTCGAAATGTAAATCTCATTAAAGTATCAAATAAAATTCATTGTCACGTTTTGCCAGTACATGTAACATGTCAATGTTATTTGTTCATTCAGGATTGAAACAACAAGAAGTGAAATGAGAATGCACAACGAGTGCAGCATTAAAGTACTTACAATATATGCATAATAATTAGGTAATTTCTCCTAAATCCGAAAAGTTTTCCCCTTCAGATTTCAGCCAAATTATCTCATAGAAACGAACATGTTGAAAACAATTATCTAAAATTTATTTCCGTTAGACAATGAAAATAATTTGGTTTCTCACGTCTATCCTCTTATCTCGACATAGAACAAACAAGCTTGGAAAGGTTTTTCTATTTCAAAAATGAGAAAATTCATAAACTGAGCAACTCTCTCTCGGAGTGTTTGAATGTACGCAAGTTCATAAACGAATTAAAGATACCGAGCAGTACTAAGAGTTTCAAAAGCTCTTTAAAGTGTAAACAAAGAATAACAAATAAGTGAGGTCGATCAAGATTTTACCCCACGGCCTGAAACAAACAAAAACATTATTATCTTTGGTATGATGTTTATTCCTGTCCAGATAGGCCATCCCAACGCTTTCGTTACATCTTTTTTCGTCAATTCAATCGCTAAAAGATTACTCCGTGCTCTTTAAAAAATTAAAATAAAGTCAAATGTTTTCCTCTCTTCAAAGTTGAAATGAATTCATAATGAACATTTTTTCTTTCATCTCTTTTTTTTATGAAGATGCTAAAATTTTATTTCAAAATTATAATTTATTTTGTTTATTTACAAATTTCATGCTTAAGATGTGGAACGCAATCAAGTTAAAAATAAGGAAATAAATCGAGAAGAAAAAGTTATTAAAACTTTTCACTTCAACGGGTAGAGAGATGGAACAGCTGGAAGGCGTCAAGCAGAAAAACATCCATCCCATCACTTAAATAAAGTTATTTGTCATTTTGAAATTTGTGTTGATTCAATGGAAAGAACATTTAAACGGAAAGTTTGAAGATCATTTTAATTATGAGTATAATGTTAGAAGGGTTTTGAACTTGATTTCATTTACTGCTGTTGAACTCCTGTGGATTTTTACGACGATTGCAAAGTTTGGCTGCGAATAGAATTACTTAAGTGCTGAACATTAATATCAATGAAGATGAAGAAATGTTGTTGAGAATGGGGAAACCTTTGTAAATATTTAGGTCAGGAAAGTAAATACACCAGAGAAAAGATTTGTAGGAAAGCTTAGCAAAAAGATTTATTATTAAATTACTCAAGAAAATTGAATCGAATTAATTCAAACTATGGAATCAATGCTGCAAAACTATAGTTATTTGAAGTCTTATCTCATTTCTTTTCGAGTTGAGTAAGCGAGTTAATAATTTATGAGATGTTTCTTCATAATTTAATACAAAAATCGAGATGAAATTTGCATATGCCTGTGCAAGTAAGAAAGAAATTTATGAACAGCTGAAAAAGTTATGGCTTCAAAAACATTTGCATGTGGTGTGCTCAATGTTTAAGAAGTAAGCATCAACTGCTGGCAATATTTAAAACTCTCTTAAGATTAATTTCACTTCTAAAATGTTTTCATTAGTTTGTTCAGTCAATCGTTAAGATGATCAAAGTCATATGTAGATTTGGGTTAAAACTTCAATAGATATTTGAATTAATAACTTTCGGAAAAACCTTTTGTGTTGATCTTTTATTGAACCTTTGACCAAACCTCCTTGTGAATAAAAATAAATAAATTACAATTTACTAGAATCATTGCTTTGAAAAATCCAATTTTGATTTTTATCGTTGGCATCACAGCTTTTTAACAATAAAATATCATTCTCACTGTCTAAAGCGATACATCTGTCAGTTTCATTATGGCGAATCAAGTAAGAATTTTCATCATAACTCCACAACTAAAATAATTATTAAACTTACTGAATTTTCATAAAAATATTTGATAAACTTGTTACCCGACTTGCCCTTTGAAACTCGCAACTTCTAGTAACCACTTGATATGAGGATTTGTCGTAATCAAAACATGCATGATCTCTACGAATTTCACCTGCATTACTAAGCATCCAAAACTAAAAAATGTTTCGAATAAATAAAAAAGAATTAGGTAAATATAAAATTCATAAATCATGTTAACATACTTGAGATATTTTTCTCTTTTGACAAGACGAATATTTTACGTTGTCATCACCGTCGCTATTTGCTTGGAGACACATCTCGGTATTGTGTTTTAAAACAATCTAAAACTCTTCACTGGTTAAAATTTTCTGAAAGCAAAACGAAAAAATTTAATATCTCACCTTTCCAATGGCAACAGAATCTTTTGGTAGAAACTGAAAGAGTTTTGCAAAGAAAAGTTAACAAATAAATTTCAACTCTCTTTCCATTTCTCTGCTTGCCTTTTGTGGATAAACATTTTCCATGTACCATTTGAAAGGTTTGCAATTTAAACTTTCACGAAGTTTAATTCTATCACTGATATCACCGTAGTCATATCTGGTATGGTCTATGAGTTGACTAAAGTATTCAATGTATTCATCTATCCAGACTTTTGCTAATCTTATAGCATTCTTCTCAAAAAGAGATTGTGCTTTCCACTATTAGGAGAAGAAAATGTTTTAACACATGTAAATAAAGCTTTGTACGTTCGGTTCATGTACCTTGTTGCTTCTAAAAATGTGACCAATATGAGAACATGGAATCATTTCCATTCCTGATCCACACATCCAAGCTTTGAAAGATAATTCCAAGTTTTCTCCACCCCACACATCAAAACCAGGGTCAAACATTCCAATTTTTGAAAAGAAAAGTCTATCGACTGCAAAGAATGCACCAAGCATTGTTGGGCTTTTTACAGGTTGCGACAATTCTTCATCAGTTTTTGAATCGGCATTTGGAACTCTTGTCCATGCAAAAGCGAGATTCCATTTGAAGCCTCCAACCCAAGTTCTTCTGTCTGATTTTGAATATGCAAGTGTCTTAGCCATAATCGTGTCAATTATTGGAAGCGCAACTTTCTCGGAATCCCTTGCAATTGAATCTAAAAGTGGTTCAAGCCAACCAGGTGTGACTTCCACATGGGCATCAGAAAATATTAAAACATCTCCAGTTGCATACTCGGCCCCAACCATCCGAGTTCTTATTAAGCCTTCTTGTTTCGTTGTTCTTAATATCTGAACTTTACTAAATGTCTTGAAATAATCTTCAAGCGGTTGCTTTAATTTCGTCGATTCACTAAAATCATCAACAAGAATGATCTCCTTAAGTAAATGTTCGGGTGAACGATTTAAAAACGAATGAACTGTTCGAAGCAACACAGAGTAAGATTCATCACGAAAAGGAATTATAATGGAACATCGTGGAAGATCTGTAAGATAATGTTTAGCAGCTTCAATGCAGTATGCGTCTCTAATGTCAGGTAAACTTCGTTCAACTGATATAAGATCAGAAACGAATTGATTGTATCCATTTTTTTCCATTCCTTCGTCAATAAGCTTCTGAATTTCTTTCGAAATTGTTTCGGGGAGTATAACTGGTTCTCCCATCTCTCCAGACAGTTTATTGCCGACATTACTTATGTTATAGATTTGTTTGATTTGTTTTTCAGTTTCAATTTTATTGTCATCACGACTCCAGTTTCCTTTCATCAAATCTCTTGGATGATTGAAGCTTTCGTAGTAGACTTTTGCTTTCAGTTCAAGATGGATTAAATAAATCAAAGCAAGAGTCATACACACTAAAAGAACTGAAACAATTTTAATTCTTGGCTGACGACGAATTAAACAGACTCCCATTTTAGTTGTGTATCGATGAAGCCTTCGTTGTCTACTGAACAGACACCTTATCGTTCAATATAAGTGTCATTATTCATGTTTGAACAGTTGTTAAAGCATTTGAATGTATTAATTTTTTTTTAATCATTCTTAATGTCAAGGAAATTTCACAAAATTTTATTTCAAAGATGTGAATTTAATTAAATGTTGTCGAACTGAAAACTTGAGCCAATGGAACTCTTTAAGAGAATCAGGTAAAAATTATATGAAGAAGTTAAAGATTTGGATTTAGAAAAAGGCGAATCAAATTGAGATTTCTTATTCACTTTGAGAAATCTGAGAAGCTTATAAAAAGAACAAAAACGTGTCAATGACTTTTGGAAATGTCGTACGGCTTTGTGAGAAAATCATTCAAAAGCTCAGAAAATTAATGTGAGATTTTTTCTTCTTTCTGTCAGAGATTCGATATCTCTTAGAATAGGAATCAGTATCGAAAAGCTCGGATAAGCTATGATCGAAGCGTTAAGAGAAATTAATACTCATAAAAAAATATCATTTAGTTAATATTTACCTAAGAGTTTCAAGAGAAACATCTGTGAATGTCAGTTAAAAATACTTTTATCTAACTTTTTCTCGCAGTTGAAAAAAATAAAAGAAATTTTCACTTTATAAGATGAGAGAGATAAATCAATTGAAAAGTTTCTACTAAACTAATCAAACTTTCTTTTTCAGCTAACTCGTCAAAAAAATTAATTGAAATTAAGATTTTGATCTCAATTCAATTATTTTACGACGGCCCCATACCATATTAACATGGGCCATCGTATTGAAACCGTCAAAAAATTTTGAAAATTTTTTTTTTGCTTAAATATGCTTAAAATATCATGAAACGTCGAGAAAAGTGAAAAAAATTAACTTTTTTTTCGCCGTCGGATTTCGACTCTGTATGTAACTTTTTAAAATCGTAATAACTTCCACATTTCTCAAGCGATCTTAAAAATATTTTGGGAAGATGAGTTTCGCATCGGGGGACAAATATTCTGAGAAAATGGGGTCTGTACCTTCAATATTTCAGGTACCTGCCATACCAATTTATCCAATTAATCTGGATTTTAATCTAATCTTGATCTTAATCTAATCTCGAGATCATCTAACTTGACAAAATATCTAAAGTTTAGATTCTAAACGAGTAACGGGTATGAGTGGTTGATAGGTTGCTGCGTGGGCGTTAGAGAGTGCGCGTGCGTGTGTGTGTGTGAGTGAGTGTGTGAGTAAGTGTGTGAGTGAGTGATATAATTTCCTATGATTCTTAAAAATCTTTGAATGAATGCGACGAGTCTCAACATCAACATTTTCATTTATGTTTCATATTTTATTTAATTATGTGAGAGAAATTATACATTTTAGAATCCTACATAGGCCGAAATATCTTTAAAATTATGCTGTGGCATAATTTGAAGCTTGCCCATGTGACGCTTGCCCATCTCCAATTTTTTAAATGAAATCTCAAAACGTCCCAAGAGAATAATTTTAAAACTGTTATGAGTCATACCTAAAGTATTAAAAAAATCACTAATTACCCTCTTGGGACGTTTTGAGATTTCATTTCCAAAATTTTTCACCGATGTATGAAACTTCTTAAAACTGTTATGAGTCATACCTAAAGTCTTAAAAAAATCACTAATTACCCTCTTGGGACGTTTTGAGATTTCATTTCCAAAATTTTTCACCGATGTATGAAACTTCTC